ATACTGCCCTTGTGAGACATATGGCATATCCCAAATCCATACTACATACTAATTATTTACAGTTCATACTAGTTTTTACAGTATACTGTTCAAGCAGTTAGTGTACAAAAAAATGTTTATCATTTTATACAAACAGGAAATACTACAATATGACATCAGATTTCAATCAAATGACGATAACACTGTGACAAAATAAAGTGAACTCACAGCAGACAGCATTCATAATAAATATGGTCTATTTTTAAAACAGACGTCAACATGTTTGTCCTACGATTGACAAGATCCTCTTTCTGAAACAATTTATTACCATCTGTGATCAACTCCCTAATTTATTTGGTGCATTAAGAGTGTGCATCAAACTGTCTGGTTTGAATATACTTCATTTTCTCACTTATCCTGTGTGAATACACCAAAAACATGCTTAGAAATAGTGACATCATTAGAGGCAAATTATGAGCTCTTTTCTCTTGAGCCACAAAAGGCGTTTCTAGAACTTTCTTCTCATATGCAGTCATACTCCCAACACCTACGAATATACTTTGATGTGGATGATGGATCAGTGGAGTTCCCCTTTAAATTGTTTTTCAAAAATGAACCTTCAATGAACCATGTTGGTGGTGAATGAGTCCCTCTTTGGCATGTCTTTAAAAATAACTATCCAGACCTTTGTATAACATGTGGTTCAAAGCAGAGAAGGCTAAAGTTACCTGGTCAGCCAGACTCAAAGGTCATCCACAGACATATGGGGACATTTTACTGATTACCTAGAGTAGGAACTAAGTTACAAGTCAAACTCTTTGACAAAGAAACATTGTTTTGACCGCAGTATAAACAAATCAACTACATAGATTTTTCTTCACTTTTGTGTATGTGTGGGGAGGAAAGAAGTGAGAGGAACGATATCTTGAGAGATATATATGACTAAAATAAGTATTGGTGTGCAGTGTTAGGGTAGAAATTACATTGTTGTTGGGATTGAATGCATCAGACCTGTTAGCGCCTCTTTCTTACATATCTATGAAATTCTACATTCCGGAAGTTTGTGAAATTAGATCGGATGATCTTTGGTGCAGAGAAGCAGAACATCCCGAACTGGGGGGTAAAAAATGGGCGGAGGGTTTAGAGGAGACCTCTGCATGGTTGCAATTTGCTTGGATAAACAGGCAGGAGAATGGTTCAGTCACGGAAACATAAAGTTATACATTCACTTGCATTTCGAACAGCAGCTCAGCAGGTCAGATCATTGACTGGACACTGGATTCTCTTAGGTCCGAGTGAGAAGTCTGAGGTGAGGAGATATTTTACTAACAAACTGTGTGTTGCTGCATGAGAGCTCCGTTTGCTTTTTTCTTGTTATGGACAATGTGTTTTTTCCTCTTAAGATTGTTCAGGCCTGTCTATTTTTTATATAAGACATTGCATCTTTATTGTAACATTGTAACAAGCTACTGATGCTAAGAATAATATCACTTGTGTCGAAAGATTCAAAACCACCAATTTGTAAATCGTTCATGTCCCATTTCGTTTTAAATTTCATCTCAAACTGAATCTACAGTAAACCACAGTCAAGTAGGGCAACAAAGGTTTTGTTGTATCCTGTGTACTGCATTTTGCGATGGTGTGTGGTTGTGACCTAAATTACAGTTTCAGAAGGTATAATCATTTGCAGACAAACCATTCAGACCAGATGAATCATGGATTTGATTTTGGACATGCATTTTTTTGTCATGTTACATCTGTTTGCTTTAACTTGAGTCTCCTTATTTTAATATTTTACATTTAATTACGTGCTTTGCACACTGTTAAGACTTTGCAACAATACTTCATGCTTAGATAATACATGGCACTGATGCATGACACTTTCAAGCATCATGCGCACAAGGACTTTGACTTGGTTAATTGGTGCTGAACATTAACAGTTCCGGCGAAAAGAGAAAAAAAAAATGAGACACTGAACAAAGAGCAAACTGCAGCAGATGGTCATAAAGAAAATATAGACTGTAAGGCGGAAGACTGAACATACCAAGCATAGATTCAAAAATATTTGTTTTGTAGATGTAGAGTTGGAAACATTTGAGAGGCATTGGCAGAGCAAACATTTGAAACATGGGCTTCATTAGCTATTTGAACAAGGTCTACAGGGCTTTTTTATCCTCTTTAGTTCATTGTTTTTGTTTTTACAACCTGCATATTTACTGAATTGGTTACAGCAGCAGCAGGAAGCTATTTAAACCCTCATCCAACCAACATATTCAAAGAGTAACTGCACACTTAAAACATGATTTCTAAGCTAAAAACTAAAAACTATGACTGCACTGTGATGATCAATGCTGGTGCTAATATTGCCATTTTTTAACAAATTTATAAAAATCGGCATTTCATGCTTGAATATGGCTCAAAAAGCAATCTAATGTTTCATGCTAATGTTACACTGTTTACATAAAATGAGTGGAACATCGGGCTGGTGGCAGTAAATTCATCAAATTCAGTGCCCCATGCCATATAGCTACTGTCGTTGTCATATTTGTTGACACAGCGTCAAGGCTTTTTTGTGTGAATAATAAATGGTCACTTTCATGACAATATGAGCGATAACGTGTGGATTTTATCTGCAGCTTGAGTAAAGTATGAACTGCAAATATTTGTTCAGTAAAGTTATGTGTCTCCCCAACAGTGATGGGGTCATATCCAGCTCTGGCATTCCTCCTGCTTTTTTCAGCTACTCTGTCCTCCAGCTGCGATGGTGGAAAGGTCCTAGTTTACCCCGTAGATGGGAGCCACTGGCTTAACATGAAAATCCTGGTGGAGGCACTTCACTCTCAGGGCCATCAAATCACGGTACTACGTTCCTCCACCAGCTGGTACATTTCTGAATTCTCACCCCATTACACCTCCATCACCATCACCCAGGAACAGACCCAAAACGTAGAGAGCCAAGACTTCATGACGTCTTTCTTGAAGAGGTCAATAGAGATCCGTCGAAATAAAGGCACAATATGGGCATTTGTGGAATTTTATAGGCACCTTTTCAACATGATGGCGGAGAAGCAGAAAGTCGTGGCAAAACTGATCGTCCGCATCTTTGAGAATAAGACACTAATTAAGGAGCTGAATGAAACTGGATACAACATTTTTCTGACTGACCCGGCATTTCCAGGTGGAGTGCTGTTGGCACACCATCTCCAGCTTCCCCTGGTTTTCAATGTGCGCTGGCTTTTCAATGGCGAGGCCCACTTCGCCATCGCTCCTTCTCCTCTTTCCTACGTCCCCCAATTGTTTACTGACAACTCAGACAAGATGGACTTTTTCCAGAGAATCAATAATGTAATTTGTCAAGGTATATTGGCTTACATGTACTACTTTGTCTCAAATCCGCCTTATCAGGCTGTGTGTGATCATTATTTTGGACCTGATGTCAGCGTCATGTCCCTCATGCAGGGAGCTGATCTCTGGCTAATGCGGGTTGACTTTATATTCGAGTTTCCTCGTCCCAGCATGCCCAACGTCGTCTACATTGGAGGCTTCCAAAGTAAGCCCTCCAAGCCTCTTTCATCAGATTTAGAGGAATTTGTGCAGAGTTCAGGTGAACATGGGGTGGTTGTCATGACTCTGGGGACCCTGCTGAGCGACCTCGGCCCGGAGATATCGGAGATCATCGCCTCAGCATTTGCCAACATCCCTCAGAAGGTCGTGTGGAGACACATCGGGAAAAGACCCATCACTCTGGGAAACAACACCATGTTGGTTGAATGGCTTCCTCAAAACGATATACTAGGTCACCATAAAACCAAGGTTTTTGTCACGCATGGGGGTACTAATGGAATTTATGAGGCCATCTACCATGGTGTCCCAGTTCTGGGCATTCCTCTCATCTTTGACCAGTATGACAACATTGTGCGTCTGAAGTCACGGGGAGTGGCTGAGATTGTTGAAGTGACAACCTTGGATGTTGAATCTCTGACAAGTTCCCTGAAGAATATTCTAGACCCAGAGAAGCCATACAAACAGAATATGCTCAAACTGTCACAGCTTCATCATGCCAAACCAATGAAACCCATAGACAGCGCCATTTTCTGGATGGAGTTCGTCATGAGACACAAGGGCGCAGCGCATCTGCGCACTGAATCATATAAGTTGCCATGGTATGCCTATCACTGTCTAGATGTGATGGCAGTCTTTGTGGCATTTGGTGTGCTGATCATCGCATTAGTTTGGGTTTCCTGTAGATGTCTCATAAGACGTTTGATAAGCACCATGAAGACCACATCCAAGTCCAAGAATGAATAGATAACCTCATGAGGAAGGAAGCTGGAGACTGTTGATAAGAGTGTGATGAAAAAAGATTTGTAATTTATAGTGGTACAGAATCTGCTGAATAACAACAGGAACCAATATACAGGGTGAACATGAATAGATTAGGGCCTGTGTCCATATAGTGTCTTTCTGGCAGAAAAGGCGAGTGCTTCATTCAAGTATTTTATCGAAAAAGGGCTCTAAGAGAGCAAAGAGCACCAACAGGAGATGCTGGCCCACATTGTTTGTATAGATGAGGATGCTTAATTTGACAGCCATAACGTTAGAGCAAGGAGAAAAAAAGGACTCTGGCTGCTTTGCTTTTCCTCTAGGTGGCTGCATGCAGCCGCATACGCTCTCTCCTCATTGAAAACAATTGAAAAAAAGACACTAGTGCTCAGAAAGAAACGCTATATGGACGCAGGATCTAAATGGGAAAGTGTTGGAAATTCAAATTTTACAATAGCTTTTAAGTTTTCAAATTATTCGCACTATTATCTACTGAACTGTCTTTTTTTTGTCAAAAAAAAACAAACAAATAATGTTGTGATCTTTGCATATTTCACGTAATGTACAGTGATTGAAGTGCATCATGAATTAGTTTTAAAATCTTGTGTTTTTTTCCTTTTCTGGTCACTAATTATCATTAGTTTATATGTTGCAATGCCTGTGAAAAGTCACAAATCACATCTGACGAGCTTGCTGGAGTCGTCGTCTGAGCTGGGAAGGAATATTCTCCTTTCCGTGAAGGTAAACCAGAGGGTCGAGAGCACTGTTGTTCAGACACACAAGGCCACGAATAATCTGAAGAGCAATGTAGAATCCATTCAACCACTCACTGCATATCCTCCGATTAAATAGATCTCTTTACCAGAGATTGAAATTGTTTCAACACAATTAAAAACACAATGAGCCTCACTGTTGCACTGCGTGACGTGTTCCTTCATTAACACACACACACACACACACACACACACACACACACAGTAGTTTACTTTGAGTCAAAAACACTATCCTGCTGGCCCAAATACTCACTGGAGCACCGAACGTGGATTAATCCACGGTTAAATATAGTCCAACGAATGCACCTTTTACTCCAGTTTTAGTTTTCGATCAAAACTACAGCGCCCGGCTTTTTGAGGAAAATGTTTTACAAATAAAACACGTATTTGTGACCAAATTTGTTTTAGTTTTTTTTTAAGTTTTACAGAACAATGGGATTTGTGCTGAGTTTGCGGTGGTGGAGGGAGCTGCAGCAGCATGAGTATCAGCAGAGTTATAGTGATCAGTGTTAGATTATAACAAGCCACACCGCAGTGAAAGAAGCTCTTCTGAAAGATAACAGAGACACACCGAGAGCTGGAGTTTATCTTAATTGCCTTTTGTTATTTGCAAAATGTGTCAACATGTTGTACCTTAAGATATGAAAAACAATATTACTGTACAGCAAAAATAATATTTAAGGCAAAAAAAGCAAAACGTAAGAAAACAACTAACAACTTCATACACACTGCAGTCAATTCACACCACTTGTTGTGATGGACAGCTGCATGCCGTTTGAGCTCAATGTTATTTAACAGTTAATGTTAACGTCTTAACTCTAATTCAACTTCATCTGCAGCTTGTGCCACAGGCACACAGCCGGAGTTTGCCGGATTCAAGCGGCTGAATATCTGACGAGCTTGCTGGAGTCGTCGTCTGACCTGAGTAAGAATATCTTCATTTCCATGGAGGTAAACCAGAGGGTTGAGAGCACTGTTCAGACACACAAGGCCACGAGTTATCTGATGAGTAATGAAGACTCCATTGAACCACTCGCGGCATATCTTCTGTCTGGACAGAACTCTTGACCAGAGGTTGAGGTTCTTGAATACATGATAGGGGACGTAACAAACAGAGAAGAGGAGAATCAAGATGCACAACAACTTCAAGCATCTCTGTTTCAGTACCTTGTCAGTGTTTTTTGTGCGGCAGAGAAAAACAATCACATGTCCATAGCAGCCCAGTGTGATGAGGAATGGGATGCAAAACCCAGTGACGGTCCTTCCAAGGCTGTAGTTCAGGTAATCCTCAACATAGTTGTTGTTGGTGGTCTCATAACATTTCCCAGGCTTGTTTCCGAATGTTTTGCTGTAGAACATGTCTGGAAGACTTTGAACGCTCACCAACAGCCAAACCATGACGGAGATCCCCACAGAGTGGGTGACAGTTATTCTTCCCATCACTCTCATTGGATGGACAATAGCCAGGTACCTGTACACACTGATACAAGTAAGGAACCCAATGCTGCCATATAAATTCAGGTTGAAGCAGAATCGTGTTATCTTGCAGAATGCATCTCCAAAGATCCATTTACTCCTCATGAAGTAGTACACCACCAAAAATGGGAGCGTGAGCAGGTACAGAATATCTGCAAGTCCGAGGTTGAGAACAAAAACATTGACGTTACCCAGTTTCTTCCAGTTCTGCAGCAAAGACTTCAACCCCCATCCATTAGCTACCAGACCAAGGATGAAGACTAAGATGTAAACAGGAGGCAGAAATCTGTGCTCGAAGTCAAAGCTCACACGAGTACAGGAAGATTTATTCATTCTGTCTTCTGGAACGACGTTAGAACAAATCTTTCCGTCTGTGGACTGTCTGGCTTATGAGAAGTGTAAGAAACTGTAACCCGACTTTTGCTCGAAGAAAACTTCCTGTTTGAAACACTGCTGTCTCAACTGTAGATGTGAGATTACAATAATATCTATGTGCAACATCTCCACCGGTGCACGTGTTATTTGTCACCGAAGAAAAACAAAAGCAGACTTTTTTTATGGAAGATAGTTTTAAAATTCATATGGCAGCGAACGGACAGTGAACATGATCTGCTAAACTGTCAAATGTTTTTCTTCCAGTATGTCCCTTATGTAGAGTATCACTTTAGCACACAACAGGTGCAAGATATTATTTATGAATTAACAATTTAGGTGACGCAGGAAAGCTTCAACCTTCACACAAATGAATGGATAAGAGTCAGAAAAAACTCATCAACCCTTTTTGAACAATCAATGTAGAATATTGAAACTTACAGATCGAGTTAGATTATACTTTAATTGATCAAAACGTTTTACTTTTTATATGGAGAAACCATTTTAACATACACAAATCAGAATTATACTAACAGAAACTTTTCATCATTTTGATACTTTATTCATTGTTCATCTTTTATGGCTCACTGATTCACAAAAAACTAATACCATTGATAAAAGCTTATTGACTATGCAAACTTAAAAAAAAAACAAAACACCTAAAATATTATAAAATATATACATACACATAGAAAAACAGTGCAGGAGAGTTTGGAAGCTGAAGACTTGTATATATGGTGTAAATAAGCAAACTGCAAAGTCAAGAGTCTACAGCCACACCAGCTGCTCTGTGAGGCTGTGATGCTCATTATAAAGAATAAAACACAGATAGATGAAAGTCAAGGTCCCAAGTATGTTTCTGATGCTTAGCAGTTGCAAGGTTGATATACAAATTGGCCAGAAGGTGGTGTCAAATTCAAGGGTTTAAGCTAATTTATATCAGAAGTTTGTCAGGTTATGAGTTCAAAAGTGACAGATGTGTGTGCGGCAGTGCAACGTTGTTGTTTTTTATTTGTCTTGTGCGAGGGTGCAGGTGATTATATGTAGTTTTGAGTGAGTATATATATATATATATATCTCAACATTGATCTTACTTGAGTTTATTCCCAACTAACTCATGACACCACACAGCATTCAAAAGTCTCCCTCTAATTCACTACAAGTCAGATAATTCAAACTGTACTTACTTTACAGATCACAAAAGAAATTAGTAAAACACATTCATAAACAATTAACATAATAATATTACAAATTATATTTGAAAAACGAATCATTAACTTGTCCTTCATCCTTCCCTCTAAACTGCACAAATATAAGCCTAATATTGACGTGTCAATTACAGTACAATTCTTAACATGTGACTATTTTTCTTGTGTTAAACTTCATCTGTGATCTGAGCCATGGGCACACTATCAGAGTTTGCTGGAGCGGCTGTCTGAGCAGAGCAATGCTTAACACTACTGTTGATAATTATGAATGTGAGTTCAGCTCAGCCTTCAACAAGATCTCCCCCATGAAACTCTTTGGTAAACTTAGCACCATAGGCTTGAGTACCTCACTCTGCAGAGAAATAAGGAGGCGAAGACACTCCATGTTTTCATCAAGGGAGCTGAGGTGGAGGAAGGCTTTAAGTTCCTGGGTATCAGCATCACAAACAACCTGACACGGTGATCACACATCTCCATCCTAGTGAAGAAAGCTCATAAACGTCTGTATGCCTTAAAGAAACTCAAGAAGACAAAATTCCCGTGCCATGTTCTTGATACCTTTTAGAGAGGAGCAATAGAAAGCATCCCGACTGGAAACCTTACAAACTGGCATGGGATGTGCACGGCCCAGGACAGGGGGGCTCCACAGCGGGTGATTAAAACCGCCCAGAATATCCTTGGCACCCACCCCAGCCACAACCTGTTCACCCTGCAGCTGTCTGGAAAGAGATACTGAAGTATCAGCTGCCATCCCACCAGACTTCAGAACAGCTTACTTCCTCTGGCTGTGAGACTCCTTGATTTATCCTCCACCCTCCACATGTGGAATAGTTTTCTTTTTGTGTGTGTGTTTCTGTGCTATGTTGTGTAGAAAAAGGGGAATGCTATTTGCATTATGTTGTGCAACCCTGTTAAGGAATCACATTAAAATAACCGTGTAACCTTGATTATAGGCCCAGGCAACATGATGAGCATGTGTTATTTAAACACACTCAACACTTTTAACATTTCACTTGTTTACAGTCCTGTTATCTGTTTGTTGTGCACTTTATTTTATATTCTATTGTAAATTGTATACGTTTCTATTTCTTGCACTGTGTCGATTGTTGTTGATTGTTTAATGTTATTGTTTATTGTTAAATGCTATGCACCACCTGCCATGACAAATTCCTTGTAGGTGCAAACTTCCTGAGCAATAAACAGTTCTGATTCCGATTCTGATTCTGAACAAGAGACAGACGAAAGGAAAACGCCAGCTTTGTGTGGACTGTAGCCAAAACAGAGTTCTCAAACGAGTGAGTGTGACACACTTTACTGCCCCAATGAGGTGTGTTGAAAAAAGAAATCAGCACAAAAAGTGATTGTTAAACCACCAGCACATAACTACTTAATATATGAAAGACTACCCTGTACAATCTGAGAGTCCTGTTTTGGAGCCAACCCAATAAATTACCTTCTGAATCAATAACTTTCAATACCTCATTTACCACACTCTTCCACGCACACAGCCACTCTGCGACTCAAACATAATGGCCTTCCAAATAAAATGATAAGATGCGTGGGTTGGGAGCCTATAAGACAAATTGCTGCTAGTGTAAGCTACCGAAATAATACACACACATTCAATGTTGGTACTCACCAATCCATGACATGTCACCTCTAGCATGGGCAGAGGAAAGATGCAGAAAGATGCAGAATGGGAGAGAATGGCAGCAACAGTTCAGACCAAAGCTGCAGCAGGTGGGAGACATCTGCTCCTCACAGGAGAACTTCCTGGTCTTTTCTGTCAAATGAAAATGTCTCCTCAGTTACTAATGCTAACAAAACTAGATAACACCAGTGGTCAAATGTAACCAAGTACATTTACTCAAATACTCTACATTTCCTTATTTCAATATATAATATTTTGATTTATCTGAAGTAACATTACTTGTTCTTTAGTAATTCCATTTTATGCTACTTCATACTTCGTCTCCACTACATTTTGGATGCAAAGGTTGTACCCCAAAAGCTTTAGTTACTTTGCAGATTTGGATTATCATTATAATATATAAATCACCTACAAATTATGATATTTCTAGGGACGGGTATTGGAAATTAGCAGTAGCTATAAATGATACATTAATTGGAAAACTGTTGAAGGTAATGAAATATATTACAAACGAAGTTACCCAGCAGTAGAAAAAGTAATTAAAATGAGCCCCACCTTTACCAGCAGCAACATTAAACTGATGAACACATTATCTGATTCTGAAATGATTTATGCATTCTGTATCACTAACGTTACTTTAAGTATATTTTGATGCTACTTTTGCACTTTTACTTAGTTAAGTAACTTTACTTTTACTTGAAAAGAGTATTTTTTTAGACCGAAGCATTTCTACTACTTCTACCAAACACACTCTTTTTACATTCAATACGCAGCAACACATGCTGCTCAGTCTCACTGAGGACTGTGCTAATATCGCTATCACGCTAATCGCAATTGATTTTTTTATTTTTTTCAAACTGCATCGAATCGGCCCAGTAATACGTAAACGTGCACATGTATTTACCTTCTAAACACAGCTACAAGTCCCCATCCAGGTGTTGTAACTCTGCGTTGAACCAGTTTAGCGACATACTCAGTGGGTATTTGGTGACGTCTGCAATGTTTACATGACTGCGCCTACGTGTGATTGGCCAGCGGCTTCACGCCCCTCTACCTTCGATGGCAGGTGAACGTATATGACAACAGGTAGTAATTATGAATATATAAATGTAAATACTGACCATATTATGTTTTAAAGGGTGTAAACTGTGAGATAGCCACGTTACTTTTTATGTGCATAGCAAACAAACTGTATTTAAAATAACTTATTAAAACAGAGCATTTATCTGACATTCACTTGTTTTAAATTCATCTATTTGAAATTGCCAAAGTTTAGAAATACGATGCAAAATAAATTTAATTAAAGTATGTCTATCAAAAGTAACAGTACTCATTATGCAGAATGGCCCATTTCAGAATAATATAAATTACATTCTAAATGGATTGGGTTATAATTATTGATGCATCAATGTGTTCATCATGTTACAGATGACATGAGCTCATTTTAAGTACTTGATATACTACTTGTTAGGTTATATATAATAATATATAATAATGTATTAGTTGATCATCGTTAAGTAAGTGATGAAATATATGAAGTGCAGTAAAAAGTAAAATCTTTGGCGCTGATATGTAGTCAGTAAGTAATAAGTAGAAGTATAAAGTAACATTGAAACCCATAGTGCAAGCAACACAATTGTACTTTGTAGCCTACAGTACTTGAGTTTATGTATGCAGTTACATTTTAAAGATGAATTTATAGATAGCTTATTCATTTCTCTGTACAAATGAAAACACATTTGATTAAATCCATTTCCTTAACAACACAAAAACTGCTTTGGTGACCAATACAAGACTTCCCTAACATTTTAATTCATACACAGACACCACACAGACCAATAATTCACTGGCGGTCAGATAATTCAAAGTTTCCTTTACTGAACAGAGCATTTAATAAATAATTGAGCACGTTTATATGAAACAATTTACATAGTAATAATAATACAAAACCAATTAAAACAAGAAATTCTTCCTTCTAAACTGCACAACACAAAAATGAACTCAATGTAGATGTGACAATCAGTATGACATACATTGTTAAACACGTTAAACACGTTGCCCTTGTGCTTTACTTCATCGGTGAATTGAGCCACGGGCACACTAGAATTTAATCAGTTGGCTGAACATCTGACGAGCTTGCTGGAGTCGTCGTCTGAGCTGAGCAAGATTACCTTCATTTCCATGGAGGTAAACCAGAGGGTTGAGAGCACTGTTCAGACACACAAGGCCACGACTTATCTGATGAGCAATGTAGACTCCATTGAACCACTCTCTGCATATCTTCTGTCTGGACAGAACTCTTGACCAGAGGTTGAGGTTCTTGAATACATGATAGGGGACGTAACAAACAGAGAAGAGGAGAATCAAGATGCACAACAACTTCAAGCATCTCTGTTTCAGTACCTTGTCAGTGTTTTTTGTGCGGCAGAGAAAAACAATCACATGTCCATAGCAGCCCAGTGTGATGAGGAATGGGATGCAAAACCCAGTGAGGGTCCTTCCAAGGCTGTAGTTCAGGTAATCCTCAACATAGATTTCATTGGTGGTGTCGTAGCATCTAGCCGTCTGGTTTCCGAATGTTTTGCTGTAGAACATGTCTGGAAGACTTTGAACGCTCACCAACAGCCAAACCATGACGGAGATCCCCACAGAGTGGGTGACAGTTATTCTTCCCATCACTCTCATTGGATGGACAATAGCCAGGTACCTGTACACACTGATACAAGTAAGGAACCCAATGCTGCCATATAAATTCATGTTGAAGCAGAATCGTGTTATCTTGCAGAATGCATCTCCAAAGATCCATTTACTCCTCATGAAGTAGTACACCACCAAAAATGGGAGCGTGAGCAGGTACAGAATATCTGCAAGTCCGAGGTTGAGAACAAAAATGTTGACGTTACCCAGTTTCTTCCAGTTCTGCAGCAAAGACTTCAACCCCCATCCATTAGCTACCAGACCAAGGATGAAGACTAAGATGTAAACAGGAGGCAGAAATCTGCCTGTAAAGTCAAAGCTGATGTGTTGACAAGTTGTGTGATTCATTGTCATCTCGACAGCAGTTAGTACAGTTCCCAACCTCGTGGAGTGTTGGATAGAATAGAAATAAGTCACATCCGCATGGGTTCAGAGAAGACTCTCTCTTTCATTTCACAGCCTTTGCATACCACATCTGAGTTCTTGCACCTGTCGGTATTCAGGAAATAACATGGGTTGTTTGGCTGGTTTGTCTGATTCTTTCTAACTGAAACTGTAAAAATGTAGTCATCTCACATGCTGACACCCAGTAACAACTTAGACTATTACAGGTTTAAATGTGTGTGCGTGGCCTCACATGTAGATTTTCTTTCTTTTTTCTGATGCCCTTAATGAAACCTTGTGAGACATACAAACGGAATGTCTTGCTTTAGTCTAGTAAGCTATGCTTCTAGCACCATTTCTGACATTAGAGTTTTCAACATTTACGTTAGGCCTAATATACTTCTGTGACATGTAGCCCCAAGGAGTAGCAATCTTCTCATTATTCCAATCTTCTTTCAAGATAAAGATGTATTTACAGAAATAAACTGTTTAAATAAACTGCATGGGTTGCAGTTTGCATATTAGAAACAAGCAATTTGGTGGGTAACCTATTACAGTGACAGTTTCTAAAAAAGTTAAGTGGTGTGGTTAGAAACGGTGAGGTTGGCTGCATCCTGTAATAACGTACTTCCTGTTGCAGCTGCTCAACAGTGAGCCGATGGTCTCTTCTGATACTGTATATTATCAATACCATTACAGGGACTGTTGAATATAATATAATCCTATTGTAACATCCTATCGTAATGAAATCCTTAAAAAAGAAGATCAGAATTAAGCTATCGCACTGTCCTCAGCAGCAGATTATTTTGTCCACTGATGTCAGGATGTCTAATAAGGGCTTCCGGTCTGACTGAGTTACAGTGCATGCGTATGTGCAGAAGGCAGAAGTGTTAACTGAACAATAATTACTGATGAATGATGAAGTGAAGCGTTGGGAGAAGTTACAGCATGTACGACACGACTATATCAATCTGTGAATACTATAATAAGAAAAAATACAATTTAAAAAACACAACAATCATTGAGAGTAGAAATGCAGGACATATGTAAAATATTGAGACAAATTTCACTATACATAGGAGAGAGCTGTCCAGAATTATTTACAACAGAACGAAAATGAAGAAATAAGTGCAATGTCATGAGACTACAAACACACAAAAACTGTACAAGTTAAAAGTTGCATTGCTCATGTCAGAAAACAATATCTGTCAACACAAAGGCTGGAGTCAATCTGTGGCATATATTTTCATCAAACAAACATATTTTTAAATCATTGAAATTTGCTCTAAAAGACAAAGTCCTGTCCTCGGTCATAGTTTAGTCTTTTAGGTGAAAAAGAACTGTATTTGAAACCCGAGAAATTATGTTTTTGGCCCAGATACAGTCATGAGGAATTACTCAAATGCAATTGGTCCACTTGCTAAAAAGATTTCCCCCAGTGTAAAAAAAATACAATTTACAATAATCAGAAGTTAAATTCAGTCTAAACATCTGGAAAAAAAGCCAACCATGCTCTCATCTCAAGCAACACATTTTCTCTATCTTGACTAAAAATCATCCAGAATAAAATTACAACAACAAACCAACAAAATTTGAATATAATTCACAAATGATACCAGCTTTTGTTTCTCTCTATTGGCTCCCTGTCACAGGATGGATTTCAACATTTTACTTTGGCATTACATGACCAGGCACCTCTGGAATTAAAGGAGTTATTGTGCCCTCTGACCCCCAGGTGGAAAAGTCTCAGACAAGGCAAATCAGTGCATATCTTTCTTAAAACCCACTTGTTTTTCTTAATTGTATAACTTTTTTTTGTTGGTTATAAACTTGTTTCTGGTTGTTGTATATATTATCTTCATTGTCTCTTTTCTTCTCCCATAAAAGCACTTTGTAAAAAAAGTGCTTTATACTGTAAATTAAGTTTGCTTGCTTGCTTCCAATGAATACAACCATCAGTGTAATGGGTTACCAAGGTGTGGGAGTGAAAAGTATTGTGAATAAGTGCAGATTGAGATTGTACATGTGTGAAGATCAATGTTCATCCCAACCCAATCACAGTTTTTTTTATCTACATTTATCTTTTTCTCTTTCAAGGTCCATTGTTTAGAGGATGTCTTTATGGATCCGCATGGCAATTTGAATCAGTCGGTGAAGTCTGAATGAATCAGCTGTTGTATCAGGGCCTGTATCCCCACAGAGCAGGGTTACTGTAAGGTGAGTAGGGGCAGTTGTTGTGACAAACACAGGAGTGGATCACCATCACAGCTCTCTGTAGCAGTCTGCCGGTGGGGCAGCGGAAGGTCACCTCAGCCGTGGTGGTCTGATAAGGCGTGCAGCAGCGGGTGTGGGTGCACTGTCCGCAGTACCGGAGCTGGTAGGCACGGGTGCTGTAGCAGCCCTGGTAAACGAGCCGAATGGGACCTGGTGACGTGTAGCTGGCCTTGCATCGTCCCTGTCGTCCCCACCAGGAAAACAGCACGCACACAATAAAACTTACAACACAAATCAGAACTCCACAGGGCTTTCATTTTTTATTATCTCGTGCATGCCAGCTCTGTGTCGGAGAATTATTTTTCTTTAAGTTTTAAGTTAACCCTCAATGTATTTTCACTTATCCCTTGTTGTATCTATCATGCAGACAATTGCTCCGGTTTTTAGATATTTTTAGATATTTTTCAGAGACACTTGTCTCCAAACCCGGCACATAAAACAGAAAACATTTTTTTTGATGTGGGTGATTTGAGTTAGTCTACCAAGAATTTCTTTAGTCGAGGACAGTCCTAGTAGAAAAAAACAGATTCTCACCGTGGGTTCCCTTGAGACGTGCTGAAATGTACGGCAAGGCCGCACTTTACAAAGTCGCATTTCCATTTGCAGCTTGCAGGCTGGGTTCTGGTTAGAGACACGTGTGGAGACCCCAGTCCCACAGCTCTGGGAACAGGCGCTCCACTTGGTGCTCTGCTCTATACAGGTGGAGGCAGGTGGGACCAGTTTACTTAGAGGGTGATCCATCGGGAGAGCTGGCCACAACCTGCCGGGTCTCATGGCTAAACAAAACAAATAAAAACAATTACTAGAGACATCACGGTGTGAGAACCTCTCTACACTAAACTAGATGCTGATGATTGAACTCATTCGCCTCATTGACTCACTTCCAGCAACTTTAACGTCCCATCTGATTGTTTTTTCAAACTCCAATTCAAAACTAAGCCAGATCTTTTGATTTTAGTGAACATAAAAATCCAAAGCAAATTTTTGTTCCTCCCAAAGCAAACATGTATAAGTCATACTAATCAGCTGATCTGCAGGAATGACACTGCAGGTTTTGCATCCAAGAACTAAATGTTCTGTTACTGCTCTCATAGGGTTGTTTGACTCAGACAATGTTTGGAATTCCAGATGTTTTTGGAGAGGCTTCATTTCCCTATAACACCCCCTATTACGTATACATTCACACACTCCTTTAATGAGAGTAATAGTCTCTACATGGCTTCATATGTTTAATTGTTACACAGCTGCGGTCATTGTTATGAAACTTGGAAACTTGTCTACTGTGAAAAAAAAAAAAAGGTTTTTACTTTTCCAACAAAATGTGGGTTATATTTGGACTTTGGGAGTTTTCCTTTGGCCAGACACATCCCAGTTTAATACAAAAAATGCTCCAATAAAAACTTCCAGACATGACCACCAGTGACAAACCTCATATAAATGAGGGAAAGTTTATGTTGCCATATGGACTGATCATTAATGAGCAACGTTTGTAGCAGTGATAGCATATGCAGAGACACATCTGAAACTGGAAAATATGCTGTAAATATCTAGCTCTGTAGTCAGGACATCAGTTTAAAACAAAAAATAAAGGCCTGCATTGGAGGATGTTTAATGTGTTTCTCCTTTAAGAGTTGAACCATCTTAACTCATCCATCCATCTGTCGAGTTTACCTGTGATGGCATCCTGAATGACTGTGTTCTCTAGGTTTTCACACACCCATTCCTTGCAGCATTTTCCCGGCAGCCGGATATGTTGTGGGTTGGGACAATCCGGAGTGGGAAGACGGACATTCAGAGGACAAGCTGGCACACAGCTGACCCCTCCACCTCTGCAGTGGCAGTAAGTGTCACATGAGGGCTGAAACGACTGGCCCTCATGGTATGTGATGCCGTTGACTTCACAGCGCAGATCCTCCTGACCTGTAAGAAACACACGCAGCACAGACGGCTTCTTGACTTTCTCAAACTCACCTGCAACTTGGAATTGATGTGGGAAACATAATCAGGAAGCGAAGGGATTAGATTAGGTGAAGAGGGGATACATCAAAGGGGAAATGAGAGAGAGAGTGGTTACACATGAGGAGGACACAGGAGTTGCTGTCCGTGCCAAGGGTTATGTAGTTTTATGGGAAACCAGGCCTCTCTACTGAGAAACTGAGGAGTCTGTTTTTCAATACAGGAGTGTTGCCTCTGCAATCTATCATGCTGCTCAAAGAGGAAATGTGTCAACAGCAGACCTGGAAATAGAATTTAAGAGTACTGGCAGAGCAGCCGTCCCGCTCTGCTGAGCAGACCGTAAACATTAACTGTCTGTTTGTACTGCTCATGCAAACTGACTGAGGCTTCATCACCTCCTCCCTGTATGTCCTCCACTCTGTTTTACCCACACATACGTGAGCCTGGTTGTTTGCTTGTGAGAAGAGGCACTCACTGACACACTCCCCAGGGTCTCCGTGGAAGCTGGCGCTGTGGTCGCACTGTAGTCCTCTCTGGCTGTCGCAGGGAAACATCTCCGTGCAGGGCTCGCCTCGCTGCCGGGCACACACCTGGCAGCACCGGCAGCCATCCAGCACCACTGGGACTCCTGTGGGGCACTGGGGGACAGAACTGGGGCAAAGGCAGGGAGTGTCACACAGCTGGCACAACACCTGCAGGGACAAGACAGGCGAGAACAGGTAAGAGGATGACACATCATTGTTGTCCTCACACCATCTTTACCATCGTCATCACCACAATTATCATAATCATCATCTTGATTATTACCCTCATGACTGCATATTCAGAGTAAAGAAAGTGTCATTGGTATTCTCAGAAGCCAAAACAAAGGGGAGATCTGGACGAGGCCATTCTCACTTAACCAGAGCAGAAGAATCTCTTCATCGCTCTGTGAATTTATGATGTGTAGAAATACAGACCACTGTTTGTTTTTCGCTCACTGCTCAACAAGATAATGCTGCTGTATTGTAATTATACAAGGCCATCAAACATTACTTCTTTACTGTTAATCAACAGAAAGGAAAATGATAATGTGCCCTTAAATATTTAGACTATCTGTTGTCACAAGAGTTGACAAAAAGGTAATTTGCTTATATTTAGGGCTGAAATGATCAGTTAATTAATTACAGAAAATGTATTAGTACATTTCTCACTCTTATGATTCATTTTTCAAGCAAAAATGCTAGAAATTCTTGATTGGATTGGCTGCTTTTCTTTGTCTCATGTGATCATAAACTGAATATCTTTGGGTTAGTTGGACAAAACAAGCAACTTTCTGTTCGGGAGGGCCATTTTTCTCTATTTTATGGCATTTTACCAAACAACTGATCAATTAAATTATGCAAATAACCGATACAGATTTAAATGTCAAAGTTAAAATTGTTAGTTGCAGCTTTACTTGTCTCATCCTATTTGATTATCTTGCACACAGAGCTCTCTGTGATCTTATATCTGTCCAGACAAGATTACAGTACTCTTCTTCAATTCAAATCAGGGTAGACAAGAAGTTGATCCATTCATAAAACCAATTTATTTATAATTTGTTGACAAATGATCACACTGAGACTCCACCTCTGTGATATCCTGCATAGAAAAAAAGATCTTCAACAATATTAATTAACCTTGTTATAATACTGGCGCCAATCAGCATTGTTGTTTAAACCTGCACACCTCACACATACCACATAATAATCTAATTCAGAACAAACTGCAGTAAGTAAGCAGGAACAGGCCTCACCTGCGTAGCCACACACAGCAGTACAGCCAAAGCTATCGCACAGTCACGCATCGGTCGGTCCATGAGGGCTTGTGTTGCTGATGGAGCTCACTCCGTCTCTATAACCTGTGTGACGCTGTTTGCTAACTGCCCATTCTTGCGCCTGCTGACATTTATAAAGTCTGGACTCTGATGTCACAGGCTGACGACCGTGTAAACAGCCGCTGGACCGGCATACGAAATGTTTGACATTCCTCCTCCCTGTTGCCCATTTCCACTTCCAGACACAGACACACACCTCCACCCCCAAGTCTTTCCCCTCTTTTTCCTCTCCTCCCTCTCTTTCCAGTCTTGTGGCGTTCTAAGTTTACACAGCTTAACACGAGCTGAGGGGAGAAAAATACATTAGCCCAGTTGTCTACTAGTGAAACAGCCTCCGGGGCGTTTGTGGTGACGATTCTGATTTAAGTCCAACAGATTTTTATCTTGCTGATGTTTTTACAGGCTGCCACTTCACTAGCTGGTCAGTCAGATATAGTAGATGATCTTTTGAAAAGACAGACATAGAGCAGATATTGCCACAATTTCATTTTCATCCCCAAAACCTAAAATACTTCTGAAACCTTCATGTGTAACTTCAGCCAGACCTAAAAGAGATTAAATCCTTCTCCTCCCACTGGTTTCCATGGTGTAAGGGCAGCATGTCTGAGGCATGAACTTGAATCATCGCAATCTCTTTGAAGACAATTCAAATAGGAGCCTGGAAGCAAGCAAGACTCAGAGACCACAAGGACACATCTTGTATTAGAAAGAACATAGCTGAGCTGCTTCATTACTGAGCAGTTACTGCAGAGGTAGCAGTGCTAACAATGGGACTGATTCAGTTCAGGACACACAGCGTAAACAACCATCTTCATTAACCTATGCAGCATCTGTGTTGTGTCTGTGAGTATCCCAGGCTAAGACACTACAGCCATGCTAGCAGCTTCATGAGGCTGTACTTATAGGCACAACAGCGCTTTAAACTAAATATATACGTTTAGCACGTAGTAGCATTGATATCATCTTGGTTTACTGTGTTACTGTCAAGTCATTGAGATACAATCTCTGTGAATATCTGTACCAACTTTCCCACCAATCTACCAAGTAGATGTTGAGATGTTCCACTTTCTTCATTTTTGAACCTGCTGGCAACTAGATAAAATGTCGGAGGACCACCAAAGTTAAACGGATTCATCCTCTTGGCATGCTGAATGCTTGTACTAAATTTCATGGCAATCCATCAAATATCTGTTGATATATTTCAGTCTGAAAGTGGTGGAGCGTCCAACAGACTGACATTGCCATCCCCAGAGCATGCTAGTGTGGCTAAAAACTTATAACAGAATGGACATTACAGAAACATTTCACAGCACAACTACGATTACGGCATGTTACAAGAATGCTGTCATAGCCACAGAATGCCTGAAGCTAAACACGACAGCAAAAAGACTATAAATCACTGAACCAGAACGTAACCATTCATGGTTAAGGGATTCAGTCAAAAGTAACTCTAGATTCCTGCATTTCAACAACAGCCATTTCTCATAGAGAAATGGCTGGGTGGGCAGCGAAGACAAGCAGCGCTGAGTTATAAATAGAAGGCGACAGACAGAAAGATAGAGAAGGGGAAAGTGTGTGTGTGTCAGGGCAGGTGGGCTCCAGGTGGCCAGCCAGTGGAGATGTACTGCGAGGCCTCAGCCTTCTCTGAAAACTATGTGATCCTGGCCACCGCTCCCTGTGTTTTCCACGCTCTCCAAGAATGACAGAGGCTGGAAGGATTGCACTGTAGTGGCTCCACTATAACATACACTAGTTTGGCCGAAGATCTCAATACTCAGACTGAGAGTGTGGAAAAACCCTCTCTCTGCTTAAGATTCTGAATGCAAGCTCTTCAATGATCCTAAGTATACTTGGATGGACACACTATAAGAATAGACTGTTAGTGCCGCTTCATGATGCTTGATTTATGAACAACTACTGTGTGAAAAAGATGTAGCCAAGTCATAACATCAACAACTACAGCCAGGATCAGTCACAGTGAAATCATACAGTATCCGCCAATTCAAACCAAGAGAGGCAGACGAGGCCCGACACATTTTTCCAGTGCACACAGATGTTGGATAGCTCCCAGACAGTAAAGTATCACTCTCACTTAGAGTGGACACGTTTGAAGAAACCCCCGAAATCCTGCACAATGACCCTCATTCAGTTTGGGCGAATATTGTTTTGGTATGTGATGGTATGTAGGGAAAACCCATTGGATTCTTGTTGTTTCGTAAATGCAAAAACTGCAGGGCAGAGGAATGAAAATATTATCTGTCCTGTAAGTGTTCGAAAAGAATGCCTTGACGGAAAGGAAAAAAATCACTCCACCAAAATCTGTCACTGAGCAGCAGAAATGTCTCACACAAGTTAGCCAACAACCCAAAAGCACCTCAAAGTGGAAGCGTTTCAAAATGCAGCCTAGACTCAGACTGTTGTGAGGATTCTCAGAGGTGACAGTCTGCTACAGGTATGCAGGGCTGAAATCACATTTACAGATGTGAAACCTCGCAATTCTGTTTTGTCGATAGACAATTTGTAAAGATTGGTTTCACGGTGAAGTCAGACAGCAACAAGTGCCGATTGAATATCCAGTGTCTGCCAGGCTGAGATATCTCGACTATTGGAAGGATTGCCGGGAAATCTTCTACAAGCATTCTTGGCTCAGTGGTTCTCAAACTTTTTTTCAATAATGTTCCCCCTATGAAATATTTTTTCAGCCGAGTACCCCCTGACCAACGCAAAACCTTTTTTTTGTAGAAAAAAGCCGACAATACAGAGCTACGAGTGTCTGAATTACTAAACAACCGTGTAACTGAAAAATACTTAAATGCTACATTTCAAATGTTACTGACGGTATGTTGTTGGCTCTGGTTTTGCTTGCTTTTTCACTTCTTTCTCAGTGTTTTCAGCTGTGTTACTGCAATGTTTCAACCACAAATCCACTTTGTTGAACACTGTCCTAGATCAGTGGTTTTTTGAAAGTGGGGACCGGGGCCAGCCAGGGGTCCTTGTGATGTGGTTCCAGAGCATCCACAGCCAAAACGTATTTTCACTATTATTCCAACCATAAGCAACACCATGACAGAATGTAATAAAACATCTAAACGCAGAAATCCTACCAGATGGGGGGGCCCTGGGACAAAATCATATCAGATGCGGTTCCGTAGTCTATTGTGTCAGTTTAGGGGTTGTTGACGAAAAGAGTTTGGAAAGCACTGTCCTAGAGGATGTATACTACCGACTTCTCCTACAGCACCACCAGTAGGTTGACATTTGTGTTATTTTAGGACTATGTCTCAACAATTATAGGATGGATTCATTGCCATGACATTTAGTTTAGAAATCCATGTTACTCCAAGGATGAATTTTAATAAGTTTGGTGAACCTGACTTTTCCTCGAGTGCCACCATCAGCCCAAATGATTCAAATGATTCAAACTAATAAAATTCCCATCAGCCTCAGCTGTGTGTTGTATTTAGTTCTAATTAGCAAATGTTAGCATTCTAGCACGCAAAACAAAGATGGTGAACATGGTAAACATTATAGCAGCATGTTAGCATTGTCATTGTGGGCATGTTAGCATGCTGGCATTAACATTTAGCTCAAAGTACACCCTCAAAGAGCTGCTAACATGGCTTAAAACTCTTATTAATGCTACATTCCAGTCAAAGTCGAGGGTCGGAAATTCCCAGTTCTAACATCTGACCTCAAAGCCTTCCAGGTACACAACGTATAACATTAACAAACTACCGCCTTGCGGTTGTGTGCCTCCGCCAACCAGTCAAGTTGCAGTTTACACCAATGTCTGTCCAAAATGTCAGCACTTTGAGTGGCGGTCCATTCGGACAGAAGGCACATTTTAAGGGTGGCGGGAATGCAACAAAGTTGACATAAGTAGACATGAATTCAAAAGACTTCAGTCAGAGGTTGAGGGGAACCTAAACACAAAGGCACACCACCACAGACACAGTTAGTTGCTAGCTAGCTTACCGCTACTGCACAGTTTATACATTTTGCCGACAAATAAATATAAAAGGTCCAGGACAAATTTGAGCGAATAACGCAAGGTGAAAACTAAACAACTAAAGATTACACACTTGATAAGTTTCTAATTTGACCTCATTTCTGATTTGATTGAACAAAAGACCTCCAGTAAAACACATTTTTAGGTATAAGCTTTTTCTGAAAAGTCCATTTTCGTACCCCTAACATTTGTGACTTCAGCAAAGCCAGACAATATTCAAGTTTGCCAGTTTGTGGGTTTGGGTGGTGTAGCTGAGTCTGATTTGAGCGTGACTCAGAATAAACAGGGTGTGGGCTGTAACAGCCACAAATAATATTCAAATCTTTTCCCAGGACAATATTTGACACACGCATAACATGCAGAGCAGCTCCAAGTGCACTTGGTAATTGGTGTGTGAGGTTTTGACACCGTGGCGTGGCGCTGAAAGTTTTCCAGTCATTGGCAGGCTGGCCGGGCCAGATCTGCAGGTATCATTTCAGTGAAGGGGGAAGATTAGCTGTGACTGCTGGAACAGTCAGAAATTACAAAGAGTATGCAAGTGGTCCAGCTTTGCAGCCTTGAGTCAGACAGCACAAGCGAGTTGTAGTCTGTTCATGATGTTGATGTACTGAGTTATACTGACTCATTATTCCAGTAAGGACTTACGAAAGGGAATGTGATGACGGGCATCACTGGATCACTACCACACCCTGTAGAGGTCACAGACCGAACAGTCCTGATCCATTCAAAACACAATAAACGCTCAAACTGCACTATGTCTGTTTCTCTTGCATCTTTCTTTATGTCCCTCCTTCAGCACACCTCAGCTCCAATAGTTCCCTCTTACAAAGGCATCAACAGATTTCTCTAAAAGTCAGGACTGTAGATAATGTCTTCTTTCATTAAGATGGCATATAGCTAAAAGACTTCTCATTCGTTAAATGACCACTAGATATTTATAAAGTAAGAATCTAGGCAGTAGCTTAAAAAATGGAATAAGTGCAATTTAAA